AAGCGGCTGGGGGGGGGGGCTCTCTCCCGACAGCCCCAGAGCCCATCCGAGGTCTCGGGGCTCTCACTCACTGTGGGGGGCCTGTCCCTGGGCACTGGGCGCATCCTGCAGGATGACAGGCATGAGGGCCTGGCGGATGGCATTCTCCCAGGCCGTGGCCACCTCCAGCCCGACCCCGCTGTGCTGCTGGCTGGCGGAGCACGGGGCGGGAGCGCAGTTCTCCCCGACGTAGTACGTGGCGTTGGCCGTGACGATCTCGAAGCAGTGCAGGTTGGCGCCCGGCAGCACCGGGGTGAAGTTCTGGGCCAGTTCCACTGCCAGGATCTCCGACAGTGGGATTTCCTGCAACGGGAACCCACCCACAGATTCAGGGGCGAAATCCGGAGCAGTTCGGCACAGGTGTCTCTCCCAATGTTCCCTCCCAATGTTCGGAGTCCCCCCATTTATTAACTTATTTATTTCTCTCATTTCCTCTCCCCTCCACATCACTGTGGGTTTTTTAAAATAAGGAGTCCTTTCTCTTTTCCTCCCCGGTGGAAAAGGAGAGAAATGATGTTTAAAAACAGAAAGAACTTCTGACTTTTGAGAATACTGTCCCCCAAAACTTTTCACGTGGATAGGAGCAAGAGTGGAATTATCTTACTTACACACACACACACACACACACTCATTTCACACACACACACACACACACACACACACACATACTCATTTCCCACACACAACAGGTGTGTTGTGAGCAAGACACAAGAAGTCATTCTTCCGCTCTACTCTGCACTGGTCAGGCCTCAATTGGAGTCTTGTGTTCAGTTCTGGGCATCACATTTCAGGAAAGATGTGGAGAAATTGAAGAGGGTCCAGAGAAGAGCAACGAGAATGATGAAAGGTCTAGAGAACATGAGCTGTGAGGGAAGGCTGAAGGAATTAGGTTTGTTTAGTTTAGAAAAGAGAAGACTGAGAGGGGACATGAGAGCGGTTTTCAGGTATCTAAAAGGGTGTCACAAGGAGGAGAGAGAAAACTTGTTCATCTTGGCCTCTGGGGATAGGACAAGAAGCAAGGGGCTTAAACTGCAGCCAGGGAGGTTTAGGTTGGACATTAGGAAAAAGTTCCCAACTGTCAGGGTGGTCAAACACTGGAATAAATTGCCCAGGGAGGTTGTGGAATCCCCATCTCTGGAGATATTTAAGAGCAGGTTAGATAAATGTCTATCAGGGATGGTCTAGACAGTATTTGGCCCTGCCATGAGGGCGGGGGGCTGGACTCGATGACCTCTCGAGGTCTCTTCCAGTCCTAGTATTCTATGATTCTATTATTCCCACCCACTTTTTCCAGGGAGAAGAAAACCAGAGTGGAGGGTGAGAAATCAAGAGAGCGGGAATTCAACATCACCGCAACATACCAAAGAAATACGTTTCAGAGGGGTAGTCGTATTAGGCTCTTTCAGCAAAAACCACAAGCCCTATTGCACTGTCAAAACTGACACATTTATCTGGGCTTACAAACCCTTAATCCCAAATAAATTTCAGAGGGGTGGCCGAGTGAGTCTGTAACTGGAAAAACTTAAAACCAACCAATAGCAACGCCTTGAAGACTGACAAAACGTGGAGATGGTATCGTGAACTTTCGTGGGCACAGCCCACTTCTTCAGATGACTGGAATATTAAAAGTCCAGATCCAAAATAAATAGGGGATGGTAGGGAAGGAAACAAATTCTTTCCAGTAACCACGCAGCACACCTCCATCGTAATCATCCAGGAACCAAGCCCTGCAATCAGCCCCGGCGCCAACGCTGTCCACACAGCTACACAAGCGATTTCATCACTGGACCCAACCACATCACCTACTACATTAGCGGCTCATTTAACTGCACATCCACTAATGTGATCTATGCCATCAAATGCCAGCAGTGCCCCTCTGCCATGGATATTGGCCAAACTGGACAGTCTCTACGGGAAAGAATTACTGGACACAAATCAGATCTCTGAAAAGGCAACACACAGAAAACTGTTGGAGACACTCTAACCTGCCTGGACACTCATTAATGGATCGCCAAGTCACCCTGTTGTTTCAAGCCAATTCCACAAGCCAAATCCACAGGGAAAGGTTGGAACTTAACTTCATTTACAAGGGAAAGCCGGGGGGTGCTAGTCTGTGCTGTGAATTCATGCCGTTGCCGGTGCTGCCCGGGCAGTGCTGTTTACTGTGCGCAAGGAGCTGCACAAAGCAGAGAGCGAGAGCTGGTCCTTGCGCATTCAGCAGCTCTGTTGCAAACCAGCATGGCTGTGGTTTCGGGCAGCGGGTGAATTTTCGTGGGAGCCATTACAAAGGTTTGAATACAGATATTACCTGGCTCGCACACGACCCTCCACATCCTAATGACTTAACCAACTTAACGATGGGTACTTAAGAACAATTTGTACCTTCTCTATCAGCTTCTTGTAACAGGAACACTCTAATTCCCGCCCCCCTATGTATTTTGGATCTGGACTTTTAATACTCCAGTCACCTGAAGAAGCGGGCTGTGCCCATGAAAGCTCATGATTCCAGCTACATGTTTTGTTAGTCTCAAGGTGCTGCAAGACTAGTCATTGTTTTTTAAGTTTTTCCAAAGGGACTCCTCGTGGTTTATACGAAGGAAAGTAGGTGTTAGCAGAATTCCCATTAACAAATCATCAAGAACGAAACTTTTCCCACCCAAAAATGTGTTTTAAGAGGGAAAAAAAAGACTTTCGGCAAAAGATTATTGAGCAGCCCAAGTTCGCAGTGCGGGGCCTCTCACACAAAGGAGGTGGTGATGGGTAACCACACACACGCAGACACATAAACACACACACATAGAGCAGGACCCATACCCTCCAGCAGGGGGCCGTATACACACACATGCAGCGGGACCCATCCCCTCAGCAGGGGGCCGCATACACACACACACACACACAAACAGCAGGACCCATCCCCTCAGCAGGGGGCCGCATACACACACACACACACACACACACACACACACACACACAGTGGGACCCATCCCCTCAGCAGGGGGCCACACACACACACACACACACACACACACACACACACACACACACACACACACACACAGAGCGGGACCCATCCCCTCCAGCAGGGGCTGCAGAAACACATACACTCATACACAGAGCAGGACACCCTCGCTCCAGCAGGGGCTACAGACAGATAGCAATGCCCACCATCTCCAGCAGGAGGCGACAGAGACAGAGAGAGAGAGACACACACACACATACATACACACGGATGTTTAGCCAGGACTGATGGTGTGAAACGTAGCAGGGGAGCAGGCTGGGGAAACCCGGGGACACTGAAACCTATACACCCTGGAGCACACTCAGCTGGGGACGACTCCCCCATCTCCCTTGGAGGAACAGACCCCACCTTGGATGAGGATGGTCTTGGTGAGCCTCGAGGGCACATCTCCACCTCTGCTGGGGGAACTGACTGTCCTGCGCCTCTTGGGCAGAACAGGTGGTCGGAGACAAGCTAGGTGCGCTCTGATGGGCTTGCCTGTCCCCTGTGATGCCGGTACCAGGCAGGTCCAGCGGAGGCCGGGGTCTGGGGTCCTTACCTTGTAGTAGCGACTGGAGGGGTTGTTCTGGGAGAGGGCTCTTCCTCTGGGGAGGGGAAAGAAACAAGCTTAGTTCCCTTGGGAGAAGGTCACAGCCCCACTCAGTGCAGAATGGGGACTCCCAGCATCATGGTCCTGGACCATTCAAAGTTAGTTTACATAAACCCGTCACACGGTGCCAGCGAGTGGCTGAATGGTCTAATAAAAACATAGCATCCTAGTCCTTGTCCCCTTTTGGCTCTTCCTCTGGGGAGGGGAAAGAAACAAGCTTAGTTCCCTTGGGAGAAGGTCACAGCCCCACTCAGTGCAGAATGGGGACTCCCAGCATCATGGTCCTGGACCATTCAAAGTTAGTTTACATAAACCCGTCACACGGTGCCAGCGAGTGGCTGAATGGTCTAATAAAAACATAGCATCCTAGTCCTTGTCCCCTTTTAATAGCCACGTTCCTCCCATGCGTGCCATTTTACACCAGCGTCACCTAGTCTGTGCCCGGCGGCTTGTCCTGCCCCCTCTCTGGGAATCGTGTCGGTTTGCCACTTACACCACCCGAGACTGGAACCACTGGGCCTTCTGGCTGGCTGGCAGTTGCAACCACAGGCCGTGCGCCGTCCTGCAGCCGCCACCGGTAGAGTTTGCTCTGCCGATTGCTCGTGCCGAGGAACAAACTTGGCAGCGGCGGTTTCCATTGGTATCTTCGCTGTCGGCCTCGATCCCGTATAGCCCAGGCAATGAATTCTGTTTCTCGGCGACAGCTGGAGTTGTCCTTCCTTTCTCCATCGCCCACTGGACATGAAGACGGGTTCTAGAGTGGGTAGCTCTCCAAGGGACATCTGCCATGATAGCATCTGGACGTTCTTTTAGCCTTTGACCCAAGGTGACTGTTCTCTCCGTGATGGGGCACTGAGACAGGTTCTCTTCCAAGTCAGAACAGGAGCTCAGAGTTGTCTTCCTGTCTGGAGCTGTGCCAGATCAGACCCAGTTGCCGTCATGGGTGTTGATCTGAAGTGCGGAAGAGCAAGGAACGGGTCTGTCATGGGATTTCCTTGGGCGTCTGTCCGTCTCTCTGTCACTCCTTTCCTTGCAAGCTGCTAGGAATATGATCAAACTCACATTTGGGGTGGAATGACTCAAATTCTGCTGTGGGGCTCGTGTTCTGAACAGCAAAGGATGTGAACGTGCATGTCGGTCACTCGATAACACTGCGACACGTTACGTCTTGCGAGTGCTTTCGCTCTGAGCACTTGGAAAAACAGCCCACAACCACCACACCACCATGTCTTCTGAATCCGCATCTATCTGATGCTAATCTCCTCCATGGTCGGTCTGGGAGAGGGCCTTGCACATTGAAAGGTTCAGCGTCATCTCTGACATTGATTTGCACGGAATCTCCTTTTAAAAGTCCACGAGAAACACATTCTCTTCCGTTCTCCTCACGCACCCCGTTGTAGTTGCCACGCGGCGGCTGGGTCTGTGCCCACGTCTCCACTTACTGGAGGATCGACGCTCTGATGATCGATCTTCCAGGGTTTGATTTAGCGGGTCTGGCGAAGACCCACTAAATCGAACACTGAGGGTGCCCCCTTTGACCAGGTACTCCTTGCTGTCGTGAGGAGTAAGGGAAGTTAATGGGAGTTTCTCCTGTCAACATCTCACTTTGGGACCACCCCAGAAAATTTGACACAAGGTACGTCGACTCCAGCTATGCAACTGACGTTGCTGGAGTTGCGTATCTTGCATCAATTTTCTCCGCCCGTGTAGGCCTGGCTGCTGCAGATTAGCTCTCGCCAGGGTTCCTCAGAGCTGCATCAGGTGATTTCAGGGAGAGGTTGAAGGTGATTTTAATACCCTTCTGAGTCTGACTGCGACATATGGATTTGACTTTTTCCACCTCTTCCACCTCTGGAATGTGCCCCTTTTGGCCGGGGAGTTCTTTCCCCTTGCCTCAGGAGTTTTATGGGTTTTAAAGACTTTTAATGCCTGTTTACAGCTTCTAAGGCAGGGCTACAGTTAAAACACTCACAGACGCTACTACGCCGATGGGAGAAAACAGAGGCAGCAGTAAATTTTGGTAAGAACAGCCCTCTCAGGCTATGTTTAGACTATGGAGCTTTTCCAGGATACTTCTGGGTGTTCTTCCAGTGTACACAGGCCAAATTTCGGAAAAGTCTCTTCCAACAAATCGATCAGAAAAAGGTGGCAGTCTCTAGACATAACCTCACTGACCCAGCCCTGTCTCTACCAGGGTTAGTCAGTGTAGGTGTCTGTCGGGAATTAGGTTTTGCACTCTTCTGAGCAATGCGCTGACATAAATTGGCGGTGGAGACCAAGCCTAAGTTACTTTCAGGTTTTTCAAGTTGCTCCTGCTTTTTATCTGTCGTGTGACTAATTCTGACTGTATTGCACTTTCTGGATCGCTTTGGCTAGGGTTAAATCGTCTCTCTAATCGTAGCTGCTGTGAAAGATTTTTATCTCTTAACCCGACAACAAGCCGGTCTCGGATATTTTCATGGTTTGGATTCCCAGAATCACATTTTTCAGTCACTACAGGCAGAGTTCTTGAAAAACGGTCCGCCTTTCCCCCTGATTCTTGAATTCTCTGGTGGAAACACGCCACAACCCGGCAGAACTCCTTTGTGCCTGGCTTCAGTGAAGTCAGAGGATTTAAAGACATGCTCTTCCTGCGTCCTCAGCGTGGGTGTTCAAGATGATACCTGAATCTCTCCTGTTTCCTCGTGGAGCTTGGCAGCAATGCGAGATCTTGCAAAATATTGTTTCCAGCCTGAAGGCTGGTCAAAGATAAAGTTCTGCCGGGCACTGAAGAGGGGCCAGGTGACGAGATCCTAAAACTTTTGTTCCTTCTTCCTGCAACTTAGGATGCGGTTCCTTCTCTTTCTGTTCTTAGTCCTACTCCCAGCATGCGCCTGTGTCAGGCCGGGTCTGGCTACAGAGCTTGCAAGCCCACCCCAGCTGCATCCAGCCTTTCTTGCTCGGAGGATAGCGTAAATAGGGAATTTCACGCACAGCAACCGCCTAGTCACTGTGCAGTGTAGTGTACCGTGACAGCCATATTCTCCCGGGCGACTCAGCCCCCACTCACCAGAGTGTCTTTGCTGCTGTAGTGAACCATCCAGCCTTCTTTCAGCGCCGTGCTGGATTTCCGGTTCGTGTGCCGCACCGACTGCACCACCCGCATCAGCGGGATGTAGCCCATGGATCTGG